GTACAGCTTAGTAAAATGGATATTTTGTATTGTGTGGTATAAAGGTTTTAAATGGTTTTTAGCTAATTGTTTGGCAATTAGTTATTCTTGGATAATTTTACTTTAATTATGAAAGAAATAGTATAGAACAGTCTAGTTTTTTTCGAAAAAAAACTTTAAAAATGTCTATTTTTTGTGAATTTAAATTTTATTTAACTTATAATGAGATTTGGCTAAATATTCATATTTTATCCCATGTTATTCTTTTATTTTGATATAATTTGTAAGAGAAAAGGTTGAATAAATTAATGTAGTCATTCATTTTTTTTTATTTAAAGAATATTTACAATCTATGCTACGAGGCATAATAAGCAAATTGTTACATTGTATCGAACATTTTATAGTTTGAATTTTAGTAGTGTAATTCTTTATTTTACCGAGAAAAGATGTTTAGGTAAAGTATGGAATCATATAAGAGTACAAAAAGATTGAACAACCAAATACTAAATAAATAGATAAAACACTGTAAGGGTAATTACTAAATATTCTTTTGCAAATTGTACTCGTATTTATGTATAGGTAATTAACTGTAAATTGAGTACGTATCATAGTCAATATACAATAAAACGGTTTGGAATAGTTTAGATTTTGTTTAAAATAGTCTAAAACGCTAAATAATAGTGTAATTTTAAAACGAGGTTAGATAACATTGATATTTTGTTTTCTTTTTGTACTTTGGAACACTTCCAAAACGTTCTAGTACTGCCAAAGAAAACATCGAAACATTTATCTATCCGTTTACTTTACAACAAAAAGACAAACTACATTAATTTCATATTGAGTCTTCTTGTCTAGTTATTTTTATTGCTCTCAATTATTTTAAAACGTTTCCGTTCAAGTCATGACCTTTAGATGTTTATGCTATGTATTTTCCAATTTTTCTACAAAAGTTGTAAGTGGTAAAATAACCTTTTTTGTTATATTGTACACGGTATACAAATATAGTAAGTTTAAATTATTTTTATAGATAGTTAAGATAATTTCGCATTGAAAGCAAATAACTGTAATATATATTATAGAATACAATCTTATAAAACATTCATGTAATTATATAACTAAGATCACATTTTAGATTTAAATAACGCATAACCAATACGGCATATAGTATACAACTGTATAGTGGTGTATACAGCCTGCGCTATGTAATAATTTATGTATTTTTTCGATTGAAGTAAACAAATCTCAAGCACATATACATGTAGATTGTAGTATATTGTGGTAAGCCGACGGCGCTGCCACCAACTTTATATGAAGCCCACAAGGCAAAAACGACGGGACCCTCATTTTTCTCAAACTGAGAAAAACGATTTTCAAAGTTGCAGTCTCAGAGTTTTTGTATTGTGGTGTAGGACTTTACAGCCCGATTGTGGCGAGAAACCATCGTTTTCACATGAGAGTCAGTATCTACTGAAACTACAAGGTCTTGGGGAGTTTCTGCCAACCTTACTCAGTTTCGACCACCATGTGGGTTTAATCGTTTTTGCCTAGTGGTCTTCATATGACAAGCGACAAAAAACAGATATCTAGACTATTTTCATATAACAAATAATGTTGAAAATAGAGACATAAAAATTGACCAATAAGAAAACAGACCTACTTTTCATTGTTAATGAAAGAGCAAACTCCTTATCCAAGGCTATCAGGTTTTCACATATTATTTCGGTCGCATTACCTAGTTTAACACTAAGATAAACGTTATAGTATTCCGTTATTTATTTTGTTGTTAAATATTTGAAGTCTTTACAATTATATCATGTAATAGTTTTAAAAACATTTGTTGGTCAATAGCAGTTTTAACTTATTTATTATACTTAAAACGTATAAATATGTTCCCGAGCTATACGAGAAGCTACAAAAAAGTTATACTTAATTGCAAATAATTTTCATTTTTTTAAATAATAATAGACTGTTGTATATTAAATAAGAGGTTAAGTTTGTGTTTCATTAAAATAATATAATATGTTTTACAAATGTATGACAGTGCAGTTTCGTTTCTAATATTTAACATAATTTATCGGGATGATCTTATCAGTATAACAATACTATTTAATGATAGCGATCAATTTTTTTTTTATTGTTAGTTTATCACATATTGTATAAGTGACGTTGTTTATAGTAAAAAGAAACACTAACTAATTAGAAGTTAATAATTGTCGGTACACAAAAAGTAGGTTAAAAACTATATATACAAGGTAGACAACCATACAACAGTTTTTCAGTTGAGTTCAAAGAAAGATGTCTATTGATTTACGTTGAGCGACCAAGAAAAACATTGTCATCTTTTGTCTAATTTCCTCTATTTTAACGAAACATAAATGAAAAAGTCGTATAGAATGTATAGGAAAAGAGAAGCAAAATATTTGTTACAGTTTAAATGTATTTCAGTAAAATTGAGGCGTCAACTTATTTATGACTAAAGCATAAATATTATGTTCAAGGTTTCATAAGATTTTATTTGTTTACACCAGTGTTGGGCAAATTGTAATCTGATTAACAGTTAGTTATTACGATTAATAATTGTAATCAGTAGTCATAGTGTTAGATTACTGTAATCATGTAATTGTGAGCATGATTACATTTATAATTACATAATTCCTTAATTTGTAATCATGATTATATTAATTATGAAATGAATAATGATTTTATTGTTTTAACCTTCTTAGGCTTAGTGGTGCTATTAGGGGGGTGGGGGGCTTAGTCCCTTGACTAAATTTTAGCCCCCCTAAAAACATTCCTTGTTAAATAGCTCTTAAATTAAATTTTTTTGTCGTTTAAAAATTTAAAAGGTTAATGATTAATGAACGTTATTAAAACTCAAAATGTTTTTTCAAGTAAAACTATTAATTATATAAATTCACAAATAAATTGTAACGATTTTAGATTTTTATATTCCAAAAAGTAACTACTTGTTGGCTAACGAAATATTTAGAAAAAGCAGTTAAAAAAATTAATTTTCCTAAGAGATTAAAAGGTCAAATCATCATTGAATACTCTATATATTATGTTTATACACAAAATATTTTAGAGAAAGCCTGGAGCGGTTAAACAATTTTTTTTTAATCATTTCATAATTACAATTGAATGATTATTGTAATCATATATTTGATGATTAATGATTACTTTTACAAAATTATTAAATGATTAATGATTAAGTTAATCATAGTTGTAATCGATTACGCCCAACACTGGTTTACACGTGTTATGTGACTAAATTAATTTAACACACTAATACTACACAGACGTACATAGTTGAGAATAATTATGTAAACAGAAACGTGTGAACTAGTTTGTATTTACTCAACTCGGAAATTACTGCAAGCCATTATAAACGTTTATTTAATATCAACAATAAGTTGGTCGTTGTAAGTTTCGCCACGTGCACATTATATTTTCCCATTCAGATGATACATTTAACATTAGAACGGAACTAATTATTAACATTACAATATCTGGATAAAATGTTTCTTAATGGAATGTCAAAAATTTCGTTTCTGCGATGTACACAGATTAGAGGGTGTATAATCAGAGCCGGATTAAAATTTTTTGACCCCGGGCATAAAATATTAGAAAGCACCTAAGCCAAAATTAAGAATATCTCGTTTAGATCAGACTTTTTTTTTTAATCGCCCAAGACCATTTTCTTTAAATCCTTTATAAATAAATATCAAAGGAGTTATACATAGATTCGGAGTAAATATATATATATATATATATATATGTGTGGGGTTCTACTTTCAGGGAAATAGATCCGTTTTTAATTTAATAAGACTATATTAATTAGACTTAATTTAATTAGAATTTAAATAGCTTTCGCCGTTTGACCTATCTTACGAGTTGTCTAGAAGTTGTATGGCAGCCGTATTTGTGTGCAGCTCTAGGCTTTGCACGTGTTTTCGGCAAACCTGGCAATTTTATCCTGCACCGATACAATTTTCAAAATGCGATAGATAATGTCGATCCTATTGTACTGACAGGTATGTTGCAACAACCATACGATGTTCTGGCAACGTTAGACAATCTCAATATTAGACTTACTGGTCCAACCCTACAGCTGTATACCATAGATCCAAATCGGCTTAACGACAGATACGTACATATTAAGACGTTGGCTTGTTAGATCTAGTTCGGAGTGTCGTCCATCTAGCCAAAACAGTTAGTCAAGGTGTATTCCCAGGTATTTGACTGAATCATCTGTTGATTCAGCGTGACTGGGATGTATGGGGTTTTATGCTGAGTTAATATTAGAGAGATGGCGTTTTTTTGTTTAGCAAACAGAGCCCGTGACTGAGTGTCGAAACAATGACAGTGAAATATATGAATAAGATGTGTTTCATTTTATTAAAAGTATGAAGTGCTTTGCAATCATTCTAAATGTTTTGTAATTGATGTATACTTGTAAGCCATTACGCTTAATTTTTTAAACAAAAAAAGCCGAAAAAAATTATTTATCAGCATTCAGCATTTAAAATGATTATTGACTTAAAACTAATCGAAACGTGTAGGAATATTAAATAAATACGTCGCGTTTATAAATACTTATCGGCCAATTTTAATTAAAGTTTTCCTGATTATGTAGTTTTCCACTGGTTACAATATGTTAATTAGTAGCATGCAAATGGGCGATTTCACGAAAAACTACTTTAATATAGTGGCACTATACGGCGTGCGTGAGTCTATTAACGTTCACTGATGATAAACAGCACACGTGTGCCACAGAACAAACGTTTTTGTGGTGTACAGAACCTTTTTACGGCCAAAAATAAAATTGACTCCTTATTCGACGCCAGGGTGCTAAACAAAATGTCCGCATACGTCCGTCTTCAGCCTTGCGGACTACACAAATAAAAGATATCCAAGAATTCGGTCGGTTTTGTTAGCGATATGCGCACTCAATACCCCTAAATGCACAAGCCACCACCAACAAAGCTAAACAATATAAATTCCATAATATATACACTTACACGTATTCTTGGAAACTTTCGGTGGTGATGCCGTCCGGCCACTCGGCGTAACAAATCACCCGCTGTTCGCCGTTCGGGAACTGTTCGGTCGTAGTCGTGAAAAATATCAGATTCGGTATGGACAACACGGTACTGATCAACCATATGCCCGTAGCTATCATTAGCGTTGTCCTCCGCCCTAACCGAGGTCTCAAAGGATGGATGATGGCGATGTATCTGTAACGAAAATCCCAAAAACAAAGCAGTAAATAATAACGTAAAAGTATGTATCAAATTACATACATTTTTTTACCCGGACTCGCCACTTAACAGATAGTAGGTAACATCAATTATTGATCACACGGAGAACAAAAATATTATTTAGTATGTTATACTATATTTATTTATAATAATAAGTGCCAAAATCATAATAAATCCGAACATATATATTTTACGTATAAGCTAAAGGATAAAATATAATTAACTATGATAGTTGTAATGATGAATTTCTGTCTGTTGGTGTGATTTATTAAGTTTTCAAGTTAGAGCTGATAGTATCAGTACTCAAAAATAAAAAATCAATCTATTTGGTCGCTTGGTTATCAAAAATTTAAAATTACATAATTTGTGGTTAATATTATCTTAGATTTCACCGAAAGTCTTTGTTATCAAATTAATATTACAAGTTATTATTTCATTATTGAAAATGTTATAACTTACATAGTATAAAAATTTTCAAATATAAAATACCAAGTATTTTTCATTTGAGTCATATGCCCTGCGTGTCGATGAAAACCATTATGTATGATATAGATATGGGTTATATACAGCCCAAACTATCACCGGATAGTGATTGTGAAACAATTCTAACACACGCTCATTGGCCTTTACATGCAATCTGTTATATATGTATATATAAATAAATATATAAACAATCCTAATTAAATGCGTTTTACAGTCTTAGCCGCATTTTAAACGACTATCACATGACCAGAATTTCAGCAATGTCGGCCAAACACGTACGCATACTTACTATGTGCTGGTGTCACGTGTAGCTGTGGGAGAAACGAATATTGGTAAAATTTCATTTTGTTCCTTTCTCTTTACTCGTATTTTGCACAAATATAATGTCCCAGAGGCCGCTAGATTTTAAAATACAATTTTATTTATTTAGACATTTATTTTTAGAGTAAATTTCGTTATCCTGTCGCCTCCGTCTTCCAATAACAATAAGCACTAACAATGATTTTTTTTACAGGCAATGCGATGGAAGAATTTTGGTAAACCTACAAACATTGTAAGCTGCATAGCTATATTCGGTTGTCTTGTAATTAACAAAAAAAAAAACGAAGTAAAAAACGAATGTCATGCAGTATGAACCGATTTAATAAATACAATTGTGAATTTTTGTAACTACAAAAAACATGAAAGTTGTAAATAAGAATCTACATTGTATGTTATACAACTATAATTACTTTTCGTCGCCCACAAGAAAAGAAAACCAAACGACATCTTCTATTGCAAAACTGTATTATAATATTGTTTTACAAAAACCAAAAGAAATGTTAAAACAAATAAAACAATAATCCACGCCTTCGCCTGAGTCAATGTACTTAATTATGCACTTTTTTAATGAAAAAAGTTAGAAAATATTAAGTATCTTGGTAGGTACACATCTGTAATTGAAAACACCCCACCTTACAATATTATTCATCAAATAATATATAAATATTGTTAATCTTTATATATTTATTTTTTCATAGTTTTTTCTAAAAAATGTAGTTAAAGCGAGATGGACTGTCTTTGATATACAATAACTGTCGCCATACATTACATAATTATGTTGGTTCTTAATCTGTGCCCCGCATTTCAATATAAATATTTTAAAACCAATTGTTATATTATTTATTGCACGTTTAATTATTAATTAATATATAGTAACTAGACTCTATTTTGGTAGTTAATTTATTTTTCGGACTATCACAGCATCCTTGAAAGCGATTTAAAAATGTTTTTTCATTTCTACATGTTTAAGCAGACTGAAAATAACTCGCTTAATTTTAGTTTTAGAATAAAAGCACCCATTATAAAATTTAAGAAAACAATATTCCGAGGAGAACCACGGTGCGGTTTTTTTATTATTTACAATGAATTATTATTTATAATGCGAAGTATAATGCGAAGTACATCGTTTTGAAATAACGACTATTTTAACATTTTTAAATGACTGTAACTTTTCGAAAAATAATTTTTTTTAAAAAAAGCACCGTGGTCTCTAGAATATTGTTTTCTTTTAATTTTATAATGGGTGCTTTTACTCTAAACCCAAAATGTAGCGAGTTATTTTCAGTTGGCGTAAACATGTTTTTACCACTGAAAATCACCAGTGCGACGCCTTTTTAAGGTTCCGGGGCTTAATTTACTTGGAGCCAAAACGAATATGAAACCAGCTGTTTAAGAACCTTGGATACCCGAAAAGGATTCTACACCTGAAACCTGAAGTAAGAAAAATCTTATTTGCATTTTTCTACCCACTACTCAGCTCACTCGTTATTTTTAATATATTATACTTTATAAATCCGCGATAACATAACTAAAAATGTGCCTACGCGTTAAGTGTACTGCGATGACTCGTAATTTGTATCATACACAAGTCTTCTGATCGTTCCAACCCGTGTTCCAGCTACCAAGAGTTAATGCACAATTTCCACAAACCGTGCCTTAGTGCTGTTATTAGGCAACCTGATGTCCCGTTGTGCTGCTATAAGTCGTAGTGCACGCGCACGCTGTTAGAAACAATTCGAAACGACCCCGATAATCCCATAAGCCACAATGCATATACGCCGAATTAAATCGAACAGAATGCGACAGAGATAACCGCCAATGTTCTGGTCTGTGTGCACGCGTAAACAGTTTTAGCTCTATAGATCTCAGGATTACCGTTCCGAAATGTTTGCTTAAGAACTATTCATAATATACGTTTTTTCGTGTAAATAAACATCTCGAAAAATATTCCCGAACACCTCGATCCCATAATTTATGAATCCGATGTGGTGACGCCAAAAGAATAGGTATTCCGTAATAGTAAAACATGCATAAATACCGATATAATACCACATAAAGTATAGCAATACACCTCGTGTATCTCGACCTTAAGGAAACCCGCTTAAAAACTTTTACATTTAACTTAAAACTGTTTCGGAAAATCCCCGTGCAAAAAATCAATATAAAGTTTCGTTTCGAATCCCCGAGTTTTATTTACCTTTATTTATGAATATTTAAAAGTGAAACCAAATAGATTAATAACTATTAATCTTTATACGCTAACAATAGTATTACAACAATAGCACATAAGTAAGCAGAACTATAAGGTATTATACCAATCCCAACCAAAACGCTTCGTTAGCTCAATGTAAATGGTAGCTATGTAAAAATATAAAAGTGTTGTTTAATGTTTCGACAATGTAGTCGATTTTTTGCTAATAAAATATCCTACCAATTCAATTTTTTTACTCAACTTACCTTATCTACTGACACCTTATACCTATGATCAATTCTGCTGTTATACCGGGTGATTGTTTTAACGCTCTACACTAGTTTACTCCTAAAGTAATTGCAATTTTGATTCTTTTTGGAAAACATTTTATTTATGTTATAGTACTATATTAGACAATATTCAAATTTTTTTCTTTTTTAGTATTTTTTAGAGCTCTATTAACGTATAAAACTTAAATAGCAACGTTTATATTTAATTAGCTTTTTAAATTAAAAATAATTTACTGAAAAAATTGACTGGTCGATAATCAGTTTTGAATAATTATTTTTGAAGTTATTAAAGTTTAAAATTAAGGACGGTAGGTAGAGTGCGGTAGAGAAATGTGCGCAGATAAAAATAAACCTACTCTCCACTCTTCGTTTCGACCTAAATTTTAAGCTTTAGTAAGTTGAGACACAAATATCGGTAATAGGTATGTTAACTGTAACTGAGTTATATATATATATATATATATATATATATACAATAGCATATGGATAGTTTAGATACATAAGGTATTCTATAATAATTTTTTTTTCTTTATTAATATATACACAATCTGTTCCAAATAGGTACAATAAGAGTATTGGCTAAAATAATAGTATGACTTGAAAAAAAACATGATAAAAGAAGCCACCCATTAATGACACTTTTAAGTGATTATTTTTTTGTCAGTTCAGTTCAGTTAATAGGTCTCCACATCATTTGCGCTTTAAGCGTCTCGGAGGATTACCAGGATTACCAGGAATAACATGTATAATAATATTAGCAATAAATAAATAAATGCGTATGGCGTATTGATCGGGAGTGGCTATGGCTAACTTTATGCCAATTCGGTCGCCGGATGCATGGTATTTCTGTATGGATAGTATGGGTCGCCGCTAAAAATCCCGGGTGGTCACCCATCCGGGATCAAGCAGCAACGGACACAGATTAAAATCAAGTGCCACGTGGCATCTGAGGTGTCCACTGCGCCACACCCCCCGATAATATTAACAATAATATAATAAGAGTATTTTTAATTGACTTAATTTATTCCAATACCTAATTTTTTACACCCTTCGTTATATAGTTTAGATTTAGTTTTAAATTTGACGATGAGCTTACCTTTATTTATGAATATTCATACGAACACTTTGAAGATTTACATACAATAAACTTATAGGATATCATCAATCGCATAAACTATATAATTGCGATAAGATTTATCTTTTTGATTTTAAGACCAACCGCCAGTAGTCATTGCTATTACGCCATATCGTCGAAGATAATTTTTAATACCTCCACGGTTATAACAAACCGTGCAACATCCAATTACAGACTCGATTTCACCGAAGGGAAATAAATAATTGGAACGATACGAAGACATTTACCTGGAAAAACTTCAGACTGTTAGCCAAAGATCTCCCTCGATTTCTGCGACCCTGTTTAGAGCGCTTGCCCTCATTACACTTGTTGAAACACGCTGACGTCGACTGTCAACCTAACCGAAGATTACTCCTGAACTCATTTCCTTACATTTAAACCAATAACGTATTACTTCAATAAAATGCAGCCAAAAATGTCATTATTTTTCTCAGCTTTGTGATTTAAAAATAGCGTACTCACTACTAGAAGCCGAAGCAATTTTAATTTGGTGTACGTAAAAAAATTCTAAAAAAATAACTATAAAATCGTTTTACAAGGATATACAAAATCTACT